GCATAAAGTACCAGAGGAATGTCTGTGTTTCATTGACTATGCAAAGGCATTTAACTGTGTGGATCACAACAAATTGTGGCTGACTCTGAGAAGAATGGGAATTCCAGAACACTTGATTGTGATTATGTGAAGCCGTGGTAACGGGTACCCATGGTGGGCAGTGTTGGCTGGCGCTTCCCGACTAAAACAAGCCTGGAAGCAGGAGCGGCATCCACTTCCGAAATGGCTTGCCTCCGGAAACTCTATGTCTGAACAGTGCTCAGGCAGTTCGTTCATCAGGTCGCTATGAGTCGTCTACGACTCGACGGCACAAAACAACAACAACAACAACAACAACATACTTAGACCAGGAAGCTGTCATCAGAACAGAGCAAGGAAACATTGCATGGTTCAAAATTGTGACAAGTGTATCTCCATACCTTTTTAATCTATATGTGGAAAAGATTATCTGGGTTGCTGGGCTGTATGAGATTTGTGGCATCAGGATTGGAGATAGACTCATTAACAATCTGTGGTTATGTAGATGACACAACCCTGCTTGCTGAGATTGAGGAGGACCTAAAGCACTTGCTGCAGTCAAGAACTGCAGCCTTAGCGGAGCTCTGGTGGCCTCGTGGCAAGAAGCTGTACTGCAATCCCAGAGGTACACGGTTCAAATCCACCAGATGCTCTGCCGGAGAAGGAGGGACAATTTCCTCCTGTAGAAGTCAGATCTGATTTGACGGTACATGCACAAAAAATAATAAAATTTAAAAAAAGAACTGCAGCCTTAAATATCATTTGAAGATCAACATCAAGAAAACAAAGATTCTCACCATTCGGCTAACTGGCAGCATCATTATGGATGATGAAGAGATTGAGATTATTAAGAGTTTTAGTTTGCTTGGTTCCACAATTAACATTCCTGGTACCAGCAGCCAGGAAATCAAGAGACAAATTGCATCGGGAAGGTCTGCTGTCAAAGACCTCTCCAAAGTACTGAAGACTAGAGACTAAAGTTGTGCCTGATCCAGGCCATGATCTTTGCAATTACTTGCTATGCATCAGAAAGCTGGACAATGACTAGGGATGATAGAAGAATTGATGCCTTCAAGGTGTGGTGCTGGAAAACCGTGTTGAATATACCATGGGCTGCTGGAAAACAAACAAGTTCATCCTAGAGAGGGTGAGACCAGGCTACTTCTTGGAGGCAAGGATTCTGAAGCTTTGTCTGAGATACTTTTGACATGTTGTGAGGTGGGATCAGTCCTTGGAGAGGGACATCATGCTTGGAAGAGTGGAGGGACAGTGCAAGAGAGGAAGACCCTTGATGAGATGGATTGATTCAGTGACTGGGGTAAATGGGGTAGGTGTGTCTGAGACAGTAAGATTGGCACCAAATAGAGCAGGTTTAGGGCTGTTGTAGTGTTGCTATGAGTCGCAGGTGACTTGAAGGCACATAACAACATCATCATGATGTTAGGGAGCTTTAGTGGCCTAGTGGCAAAAAGCTGTACTTTCAAAGTCACACAGTTCAAGGCCACCAGCTGCTTCACGGGAGAATGATGGGCAATCTCCTCCCCTGCAATTAATTGCCTCTGAAAATTCACCTGGAGGGTCAGCTATGGGTTGGTTCTGACTGTATTGTACATAAGAATAACAACATCATCATGATGTTGCCTACTGGTCCAGTGGTAAAGTTTGAAGACTAAGGTGAGACTAGGAGGCACATAACAACAACATTAGCATTCTTTTGTGTAGTCAAATAAGACAAGCACAAGTAAACATCTTTAAGTGAACCCCAAAGTCATTTTGGCAGTTGTTGTTTTTAGGTGCCCTCAAGTCTAATATGACCCAAAAGATCTGAACTCTATTCTATCCTGTGCCTTCCTCACACTTCCTGACACAGAAAAAGCCCATTGTAGCAGTCACCTAAAAACTAGAGACCTAGATATTATACCTTAAAAATATATATTTGTTAAAATAAATTTTCTCAATTCATGGAAAAATTTTACAGTCCAGTACAGTTTATGTGGTGGCTCAGTGGGTAAGGAGTTGCACTGCCAATCCAAAGGCAAGCAGTTCAAATCCCTTATTTGCCTTGCAGAAGACCCTTTTGCCAATCTTCTCCTATGTGACTTACAGCCTTTGAAAACCACCATGGGGCTATCTAGGTTGGTTCTGACTCAACAGCACATAACAACATATGGTTAGTAGACTGAACTAGCTATGAATCCTTTGACTTTTGGTATGCATCTCCTTTTATAACCGAGTGGAGTGGTAGTGCTTGCATGTGGGGAACTCGGGCCCCATATAGTTACAGCTCAGGCGACCTAGTGACAAAAAGCTGTGCTGCAATCCCAAAGGCACACTGTTTGGGATTAACTGTTTCTGAAAGTCAGCGCGAGGGAGGGTCACCTATGCATGGGTTCCGACTCAAAACAACAAATATATTGTAGGTGGGGTCTGTATGTAGCTGGAATGAAAACATGAATTAAAAATCGTCTGCTTCTTCTATGCAATAATGAGAAATTAAACTCGGCAGGAGCTCTACAACATAAATAGTATCTCTTAGACAAATTACATTTTAATTCAAATCCAAATAGTGGTAATCCATAAACTGAAATGACAGGTAACTTGTCATTTACAGTGACCGAAGCCCTTGGCAAAGGAATCTAGTGCGGATTTGAGTTATAATATAGAACCCGTTTCTCCACAGACTGCCTACATTTAATCCCTCTTGGAAGTTTACTGAACAGTGGAGGCGTACTCTTAAAAACTTGACAGTTGGCATAAAGGGGCCGCCACCGGGTGATGCGGTGACCCCTGCGGCAGGCTCGGGAGCCGTGTGGGCCTCGGCCCTCAGCCCGACCGAACGGGCCCTCACTCCCGAACTCCCGGTCTTCTCCGGCTGAGCCGGGATCACCGAGGCGGCCTCGCGTCCCCTCGCCCCTTCCCTGTCCCCGTCCCCGCCCCGGGGGCTGCCGCCACCCGCCTCCCACGATGGCTCTAAAGAGAATCCACAAGTGTTCCATTGGCAAGCTACAATAATGGGGCCAAATGACAGTCCCTATCAGGGTGGAGTATTTTTCTTGACAATTCATTTCCCAACAGATTACCCCTTCAAACCAGCTAAGGTTGCATTTACAACAAGAATTTATCATCCAAATATTAACAGTAATGGCAGCATTTGTCTTGATATTCTACGGTCGCAGTGGTCTCCAGCACTATTTCAAAAGTACTCTTGTCCATCTGTTCTCTGTTGTGTGATCCCAATCCAGATGATCCTTTAGTGCCTGAGATTGCTCGGATCTACAAAACAGATAGAGAAAAGTACAACAGAATAGCTCGGGAATGGAGAAAAGTACAACAGAATAGCTCGGGAATGGACTCAGAAGTATGCGATGTAAGTAAAGAAATTATTGGATAACCTCTACAAATAAAGATAGGGGAACTCTGAAAGTCCTTTTGATTTCCATTTGACTGCTTTCTATGAGCCCACACCTCATCTTCCCCTGTGCACATGTTTACCTGATACAGCAGTGCTGCGTGTTGTACATACTTGGAACAACAAACTAGAAATACTGTACTCCTGTACCAACATTGCCTCCTAGCAAAGAAGTGTGTGTGTGTGACAAGCCAGTTCTCCAGGCATAACCTAAGTGTGAGACTTTCTTTACTGACTTATATTTGGATAATGGCAAGGTGAAGGGTAGTGAGAATGGTGTGTGCTTGGATGGGAAAAACAGCTCCACTAACCTGTAGGAGTTTGCTTTTAAGTGGAATCTTTTTTTTTTTTTTTTTTTTTTTTGTGAAAATGACATTTATACCAAAGGCAATCTACAAGTTCCATGCAATCCCAATACGAATACAAATTCCATTCATCAATGACACGGCAAAGAAAATTTCCAATTCTTTCTGAAATGATCTCATTCTCTCCAGCTCCATTTCTGTCACCGAGTCCATGTTTTTAAGTGGAATCTTTTAAACCTAAAACAGTTAAGAAAAACAAGGTGAAGAACGTGAAGCTTATTTCTGTTTTCATTTTATTCTGAAGGACCTACGTCTAAGATGAAAGTTATGGCCAACCACACATCCTATATTTTGAGGTTTAAGTTTAATTGGTCAGCATTTAAGTGGATTGGAGCTATTATTAGTACATAAGTACATAAAGTAATGGGCTTTGTTCCCAGTTCTTTTACATCTCCCAACTCCTTTATTCTTCCTCCTTTCAACCTCCTTTTCTTTTCCATATTCTTTGGTTTATATGTGGTTTCTCAGTTAATACATAGGTAATAGCTCTTATTTTTCTTAAGTTTTTAACTACTTAGGTCTATCTGGATGTAAGGGTGAAAATACATTTGATGGAAATACTTGTGTATACTTAATGACCCAATTGCTCCTCTGGAGCTTGTACGTTCAAGAATGATTAATCTGTGTAATAAACTGATTACTACAGTCATTACATTAAAAAAAAAAACACAAAACAACAAAAAAACCAAAAAACTTGACAGTTGCGGGATTGCAGTTTTTGCAAAATTCCAAGCCCAAGATCCCCCGCGCGCTGAAATAGCCCGGAACAAGAGCAGCCTCGGCCGCCCGCCTCTCTCTCCCGCCCAGCTCCCACCCACCCGGTCCCGCTCCCTCCTCCCGTCCTTTCCCTTCCCACTCTACACCACCCGCCCCTTCCTCTGTTCCTCCCGTTTTCCCTTCCCTCCCTCCCCTTTCCACCGTTTACCCCAAACATTCAACCCCACCCCACGCCCAAAACAGAAGACCACCGCTCCACCCTTAACGACCAAGCCCTGCGGCCGATCCCTTCCCCCATCTCTAACACGCAGCTTTCGAATTCCGCGCTGGATGTGCCGGAAGGGCGTCACTCGGAGGCGCCGCAGCCGGCGTTTGGCGCGCGCGTCCTGAGGCGCCTGTCTTGTCTTTGGTCTTTGGTTTTCCACCTCTTTTGGGGTCTTTTCCAGACATTGGTGTCTGAAACAGGGTCTGTAGTATCTCTGATCTTAGAGATGCCGTCTTCTCTGCTGGGCACGGCGACGCCCGCCCCAACGGCGGCCGCAGCCCTGCAGGAAGCGCTGGAAAATGCCGGACGCCTCATCGACCGCCAGTTACAAGAGGACCGCATGTACCCGGACCTTTCCGAGTTGCTCATGGTGTCCGCCCCAAGTAAGTGATCGGCGCCCATTCTTGACCCTGCCTTTTCAGGAACAAGGACTTCTTAACTTCGTTCTTATCCCCAGGGTGGTTGGTCGTTGTAGAAACATCCTGAGATGTTTGGCATTGTTTGCAGCATTTTTGAAGAGCTGCAAAGAGTCGGTTTTATTTCGCTCTGTCTTCACCTTCGTAGTGGACCCTTGCGGGCACAAGCATAAGATCAAGTCCCCGGTTGTTGCAGTGGAGGCAAAGACCCAACCCTAATGAGTTCCCTACTCCTCCTAGGTGTTTAGTGCAAAGGCCAGATGAGCTTGAGTTCTAGCTTCTTGAAATCGTATTCTTGTTCGTATGTTGTTGTTATGTGCCGTCGAGTCGCCTGCGACTCATTCGGAAATGTACCACGTTTACGTAAATGTATGATTACGTGGGAAGCACTGAAGGTGTTCAAAGAACTACTGTTAAGAGTACTGGTTGCTCCAGTAATTGGAGTTGATGGACAGTCATGGTGAACAGTATGCATCAATGAAAGAGATACCTGCTCTGTTTCGTTTAACAGATTTTCTTGTTGGCTCAGCTCCTCAAGGCATTTGGAATATGTTGGGGGGGGGGGAGTGACCCGTTTGTTAATTGGAAATTGGAGAAAAACAGAAGTGTAAGTAAGGGGTTTTGGTGTTAGCAAAACCCAAGATAATCCAACCAGAATAAACTATGGTGTCTAACGTGAAAACCACATATACATACTGATGTGAGGAAAAGATAGAAACAAAGCAAAGGTGGTATTTGTCCCTGATAATTACTTAGTTTTGGGGCTTGTCTGAATGTTCTATTAGTAACCATCAACTGAATTAGCATTATTCACTTGTTTCTCCTTAGATTAAGTTTGAAAGCAATATATAAAAGTAGATTATACCTTCTGGTCCTCTTCTCATTGTTACCTGACCCTGTTCCTCCATACCCACCTTTGCACACACACACACTTCTGCAACCTAACCTTTCATTTTATTCGCTCCTGTCACAGTGAAGTCTTCTCCCTCCTCCTCTTTTGTTTATTCATTATTGCACATTTTACACTGAACTTCTTATGGAAAACAAGTGAAATCATCCTCTTGAGGAAATAATTTGATGTGTGCTCTTAATGTTTCCTGAATTGCCCATTGTTTCCCCCTTCTTTGCCTGACAAAATCTTTTCCCAGCTTCATTAAGTATCACTTGCCTTTAGAGACCTTTAACCATTCATATCCTCACCAGGGTTACTGAGTGCGCCCTTTATGCTTCTCACTGCCGTTTGTCATTTGCAATATTCTGGTAAAATTATTTCTTTATTTCAAAATAGTCCATTGGAGTGCATAGTGATATAAATGAAAAATAATTTGAATGTTGATAAGTATTCCCGAAACAATTTTTTTATTTCCATAATTTAAAAAATGTTGTTTGTTTCCCCCTGTACTTTACAAAAACCCAATACCATGGTGTTAGTTCCTATTTATAGGAACCCACTAGGATAGAGACCCCATCTTACTTGGATCCAGTCAACCTGCTTGGTAGTGGTGGTGGTGGTGGTGGTATCTGTCATTGAGTTGCTTGCGGCTTACAGTGGCCCTGTGTACAAAGCTCTGAACCCTTCTTTATCTTTTCTTTTAATAAAATTTTTATTTTATACTGGTTTACTTACAAAGTTTGTGTACATTATTTTTCACACCAGATGTTTCCCATTTCCTTTACCCGTCCCTCCCTCCACCCATCAAATTGTGCGACCCTATGATTACACCTTCTTCCAACCTCCTTTGCCTTTTCTGTTATCTAAATGTGTTCTGTTGTACATAGGGTTTTCAGAGGCCTGCTATCTCAGAAGTGGATGGCCAAGACTAGGAAGAAGGATTGGCCATCCACTTCTGAAATAGCAGGCCTCTGAAAACC